GTCCATTGACAACTGTGGCCATCATTTCACACCTGCTTGGGTCTCAGGAAAACTGAGGCTGTCTCCGATTGATTGCTCCATGAAAGCACTGTCAGGGAAAACATCATAAGCAGTTCCAAAGCGACCTGCACAGGAAGCTGACTGTTGACCTGCTAGAGAAATGGCAACGCCTGGAGAATCATCATCACCACCATCACCATCATCTTCAGCAGTAGAATTATGGTCGTCGTAACCAACGTCATGACTGTGGATGCTGTCACCATCATCATCATCATCATCACCATCGCTATCACGCCTTCTTCAGCATCATCAGACATCTGCCATCTTGATCATCGGCATTACATCCTCATCATTCTCGCTTGTCTCATCAACATGACCGCATATCCTGATCTCGTTCATGTCCATCAACTTTACAGGTATGTGCGTGCGCACGATTCTGGCAGACCAACAGCATGGTGCACGATGCCCTACACGTGTGCCAAACTCTCCGCAAGCAGCCCTAAACTCCAAAAGCCTGCAAGCCGCTAAAGCCCACCAAAGAAAAAAAATCAATTTCGACAATCCCCTACCCGACCTGAAACCTAAACCCTAAACCCTGAAGCTGTCACCTGGAGGCCGACGAGTTCCGCTTCCGGCGGCAGCGAGGAGATGCAGTTCGAGGCCAAGTTCAGCCAGACCAGGCTCGGGAGCCTCCCACAAAGCGAAGGGGAGAATCGGTGAACAGATATGCAAAAGAAAAAACAGGCAGAGGTAGATATAGATATAGATATGGATGTATATATACATAGATATAGACATAGATATAGGTACAGATGCAGATGCAGACATAGACATGAGCAGCATAAAGGTATAGATACAGATATGGATACAGATATCGATATAGGTATAGACATAATAGATATAGGTATAGGTATAGAGAGAGAGATAGAGATAGAGAGAAGAGAGAGAGAGAGAGAGAAAGAAAGAAGGAGACAGAGACAGAGACAGGGATAGGGATGAGATAGAGATAGAGTCAGGTAGAGATAGATACAGAGATAGAGATGGGGATAGTGATAGAATGATAGAGAGAGATAGAGAGATAGAGAGGTAAAGAGCTAGAGAGCCAGAGAGATAGAGCTAGAGATAGAGATAGAGATAGACATAGAGATAGGGATTGTGATAGATAGAGATAGACATACATATTGATACACATATAGATATACATACAGATGTTAAACATATAGCTATACATATAGCCATATAGCCATACGTAAAGATATAGATATAGACATACATAGACATATAAGTCTATATAGAGAGTGAAATGAGCCGATACCTTTTACGATCTGTTTAACCAGCTTGTGTTGTGCACAAGATTAACTGCCAAGCTAAACAGTGTATAGCTAAGTAGCACAGTGCGCAGACCTAAATTCTGAAAGTTTTGGACTTCGCTGAGAAGTAGCTTATTGTGAATTGTTTTTGTGTTTGTCACCTTTCGCGAGCTTGTCCTCGTGAATGGCATCCACATTTGATGTGTCGAATGTGTTACATGATATACTCGTCATATACCAGATTGCTAGCAACGTCATGCATCGATCGAATCGCGGATGCATGAGGTAGAATGCAATCATCTACAGGAATCACAATGTGATAACCATCCCAGTCCGAAGTGTCGAACGACTTGGATGATATCTGGCAGGAGGTTCATCTCCCGCCATACAACCACTCCAAGGTTTTCTGCGGGAGGTTAACCTCCGACCATACTACCTATCTGAGGTGTTATTACAAATAGTACTTCATACATCTGATATTCTCGTTTATGAATGATGTGTTGTCACGGCCCCTTCGGCGCAACCAATGTCTTACATGGAAGGCTGACGAGAACCGCGGTCCAAACGACGACCCTGCCGAAGTTGGTCGCGACCTGGCAAGCTGGCCAAGAACATCTCCGTGCAAACCGTTGAAGGACAAGTCCAGCACCTGAACTGGCGAAGAAGTAGACGCTCTTGCTACGTATGTGGGTCCGTAAAGGACTGCAGGGACTATGGTAGCTATTCACACACATACATGTGTATGTTATATATCCCTGTGCGTGTGTATCAATAACTGTGTTCTGTGCTTCATCAATGCGCATGCTCATTCTTGGCAAGATGCTTACTACAAACGACAAACATAATGATAGTGATACAAATTACTCGTACTCATGGCAACACCTAGCAGCAGTAGCAATAGCGAGAGCAACAACAATGGTAAGATGAATGGAAACGGTACTAGCATTAGTCGCGAGTAATAGTAGTAAAAAACTGATACTGTTATTAGTAGTCATAACACTACTAAGTACAACTACTAACAACAACGAAAACACCACCACAACACAAGAAGAAGGATATTGCATACACCACATGATGGAGTATAATGAAACGTGAATTTGCTTGGGACCCCTACGCCACGACTGTCATCACAAAGCTCCCTTCCTGCATCTCCGGAGTCAACATCCTCAGCCCTCAACCCCAAGCCCCAAGCCCTTGAAGCCGAAAACCCTCAACTCTCAGCCCTGAACCCCAAAACCCATGTGCCGGAGCCTCCAAGCTCTGGAGGATGCCGGCTCCGACCTGAACCAAAAGTCAGGGCTTCGGAGCCTTTAGGGCTTCAGCAGGATCTCGGGTTTGGGGATGTTTGGGGTTTGGGAGTTCAGGGGTAGGATTACTGTTGCACAGCTTTCGCCATCCGCCCAGTTAAGGTTGGGTGTGGGATTTAGGGGTCGGGGTTTGGTTTAGGGTCTGGGTTTCGAGGTGCCTCGACCTGAAGTCCCACAAAGCCCTGAAATCCTTGGGTTCACTTGTGCCTGCAGTGAGGTGATGGAGTTGCAGGCCAGGTTTAAGGTGCCCAATCGCGGGAGCCGAGCGATCTGCTCGAGAAGGTGCTCGTAGCCTTGAGGGTCCGTCAGGGATTGGGGGTTTAGGGCTAAGGACTATACGCGGCTTGTGGAGTTTATGGTCGCGGCCGGCATGTCACAGGGGTTTGGCGTTTAGTGCTAATCTCGAGATCTTGCAGTTGGATTTCTTGCATGACTGCCAAGACATACTTAACAATTCCCAGGCCCCCAAACTGTAGCGCGGGGGCTTGTACACAAGACAGTGACCTGTTTGGGAGGTTCTAGTTCCTGGCATAGTATGTCGTTGCAAGCAAAAAAAGATATCCAAGAAGAGATGCCCTGGTTTGGAACAAGCCGCCCACTCGTGATCTCTTCACCTGAGGCCCCGTCCCAACTGATTGTCGCTAAGGTCCACCCTGTCGAGGTGGGTGAAGAAGGACAAGTCCTCCCAAATGTTCTTCAAAGGGAAACAGGAAACACTCACAGTCAACGGGATCATCGGAACCAGGAGGACAAAGCTGCTATGTACTGCTGCTGCTTCGGCTATGGCGACGACGACGACGACGACGACGACGACTGCTACTACCTTCCAACTTGTAGTATGTTTACGACTTATACTACATATACGATGTGTAACACCTCCATGTCTTCTACCACCTATACCACTTGTACCAGTGTTATACTACTTATATTGCGGATCATGCTCGTCATGCTCTACGTATACTGTACTGATGCTCTGCTTATTCTCTCTTCTTTGTCGTCTAGTTCTCTACTTCTACTATTCGTACTACTTATTTTTTTCAACTGCTTACACTACTTCTAGTTCCTGCTACTTTGACCACGACTACGACAGCCACGGTCACTGGGGCCACAATCAGCGAGCGAGGACCGATGCCCGACAGCGAAGACGACGACGGCTGCTGGTGCTGCTAATGCTGGTGTTGGTGCTTCTGCAAACGGTCGTCACAGTAATGATGACTGAGGCTGTCTCATGAACCTTTTTGAAGGAGATGAGGCTAGAGATTGATGGACATGAGCTGAAGAATGAAGCCAACCTCCCGCACCCTCACCCCCCCCCCCCAAGAAGAAAAACGCCCCCAAACCCGAAGGCTTGAATGAGCTCAGTGGATGCGGGAGCATGGACCTGCCTCTTCGGCGATGTCCACGATCTGCAAAGAGGACAGGTTCACGGTAATCACCTCAGCTCCACCATCTTCGGACTCAGCGTTGGGCAAAGCCTCTGGTTCAGGTTCAGGGTACCTGGAGGTCGTGGGGCTTGACTTTGAGAAAGTCGGGTGGGAGGTGATGTGGCGCATGGTGCAGCAGGACTTGAAACAAGAAGCAATGACACACAGAAGTTCGATACGAAGCTTGATCCAAAATAACAGGGACGCCTTGGAAGAGCCGGGGACTGCATTTCGGTACGGCTTAAGCTCACCGGGTGGTTCCTCAAAGGCGATGGGGCCGGCAACATTTTC